AAACACTCTACATGTGATGACAAAAATTTGTTCATTTTCTACACAATACTGCTCAATCCAAGCTTCAGCAACCGCCAGTGCTGCAGAAGCAGAGACAAAGCGGTGGCAGTGGATCGGGAGGGGGGGGGCACCTCGGAAACAGGCAACACTGGTACGCAGGAGGGCGAATCTCAAACGGGCACAAATCCCGGCCAGGCCATGACGGAGGAGTAGGCTTCACGGGTCTTCTCGGACAACATGAAGGTTATGTGCTGATAAAGGAAAATAGCTGAATTGCCCATGCCATCATGTGCCGAGAAAACCACGGGGATGAAGCCCGCCCGCTCAACGTGTTGGATCCTTTCTTCATAGATCCGGCGCCTCTCACGCTCATGTCGTTTGTAGCAGGATGCCGCAGATGATGAGCGATTTGACTACAAGGACTGACTTTGAGGGGTTGGGCAGATAGCCAAAAGCTGGGCCCCGTTCTAGGAGGCAATCCCACCATGCCTTCTGTTGCACCATCTTGCCGTCAGCAGATGAGTCGTCAGCATGCCAATGCTGGCATGCCCCATCAGTAGCCACGGATGTAATCAAGGGAAGGATGCCAATGGCGTAAATTGGCATGGCTAGCACAGCCTAGCAGATCACCCTGCGTGGTTCCTTCCCTTGACTGGATGGTTTCTCCTCCAACATATAGTTGGCGGGGCTGCTGTAGCAGTTGATGACAACCGTTGCTAGGGCTGGGCATGACAGGCGTATGTTGTGAATGCATGCAGCACGGTTGAGGCTGTTGAAGGCGTTAGTGGTGTCAGCCATCAGCACTCCGTCGACGTCAGGGGAGTTGTACACATCCATCGTGGCGTGAATGGTGGCCTCAATGCCGTAGTCTTGGCCTGCGCAAAGTCGGTGGCTACCTGCTGCTTCCTGAATATCATTTCCAATGATTGACAGGATTGCTTTCCAATAACACGTTGGAGCACCTCGCCGATTCCAATGGGCTTGCCCCTGGGTTTTTGGCCAGGGGCGCAAGCCGAGATGCAAGATAGGCCTCTAGAGAGGAGGGGTTGACATACTTTATTGCCAGGCGGCGTGCACAGCAAGCAAGAGAATCATAATTATAAGGCATCCGAGGCATCCGTAAAGCTGGTGCATGGCGAGTGCAATGTGGCAGCGTCCACTCCTGATGGCCCTGCAGCTCCATTTGTGTGTAGAACTGCAATGAAAGACGATGAGTAGGTCTGACGAGGGAACCTGTACGAGTACAAGTGAAATCTTGTGATTTCCGGTCACAGCTACAGAGCCATGACTGGTTACGCAGATTCCTTTTGGGGATGTTCTAAACATTTCTTCTCTTCCATCTGCCAAACTCTGTCGTAGGGTTTATACTTCCGTGTATCTGTGGATACACCATTATGGCTTGATCAGCAGCTACCTGAATCCACTGCCCTTGGATCCTCTAGTAATGTAGAGGTATACTCACCGTTCAGCCTCCGTCTTCACCTGTATGCGGTGGTGGGTGATGTTGTTAGCAGTGGACATCCTATCATCACCTGAATGTGGCTGTTATCATTGTCTGCAATGTTTTACTATGCAAAGCCACGTCCACCTCCGATTAACTTTCAAAGTCAGTCTAAGCACTCTTCCTACCTTGACATTGCCTTGGAATAGAAACAAATTCAACATTGAGTTTTCCAATTCGCTACAATCAATCTCGGGATGATGGTGTCTTCTTCATCACCACTACAGCCTGGGCAACCTTCGGAAAGATATGTGTCACTCTCCTGCTCAATAGCTTCCTACATCTAGATGTGGTTACCGGCAGGGGAACGAAATAAATCTTCAACCTCCAAAGCTTTTCTTCCATTAAATTCACACTGCTGAGCATGCATAGCATGCTTACAGCTAATCAACACGCACGTCATCAAGCCCAATGCCCAAATACGTAAAGTCTTCTCAATGGAATTTGACACGGTTCCCCTTCTCCGATCGGCTTGAGACACAGGTCTTTGGAATCAGTGCCCAATTCTCATATAAACGATTGTTGCCAGGGATGTATTAGGTGTTGGGTGTTTAAAAATAATATCAAATGGTTGTTGTTTTTGTTGTTGAGATGGTGAATTGTCCAGCCCGAAAGCACATGGGGATGGGGTGAGGTGACTGCTACGTGTATTTCAAAGAGCCAAAGGTACATAGCTTGAAGCTTCTTGTGTGTCATAATTCCAAATAGGAAAGGGAACGGAGTTTGCTTTGCTGAGAATGGTATGCTTTCTGTCGAGTATATCATAAAATAAGACCGTCAAATGATACATCACGCTTGACACAGAATGACAGAATGTATAGTATTGCATGGTGTACAGCATTGATCTGTGTGCTGTTGGTGTATAGATTAGGACATGCAGCACACTGATAACTGCACTCGTTAGCTTGGTTGCTGTTAGCAGATCGAATTGGTACGGGCTCAGCTCTTGTTTTGCTTATTTTTATTACTTTTATCACATTGTGCTATTGGGTGCAGCATTATTTGCACTTGACATGCTTTGCTGTTGCCCAAGGCTTGGCACAGCTGCTGCCAAGACCTATGCTGGTCTCATAGTAATGTTACGATGTGTTCCTTGAGATAGAGTGCGGCAGCGAATCGTACCGGTAGCTTTCCGTTGCAGACATTTCTGATAATCCCAGTCTCACCTGTCCTCTCGTTGCGCAAGCTCAGCACATGCTTCTCACAATCCATCACCAGCGAGATGACATCGTCTTGCCATCGTGTTGTGAACGTTCTCTCGATGTTGCCGGAGCCAAACATGAACTTGGGGTCGGAGATGAAGCCGCTGAAGTGATCCTTCGGGAACACGTTCTCGTTTGTCTGTGTTGTGCTGGACGTAACACCGATGTGTAGGTTGTTATTGGGATGCTCGACTAGACCACTGCACTGCAACTTGTAATGATGTGTACCCGTCGACATCATGCTCAGACCAATGGCATAGTCGTAGTTCCGTGCCACTTTCTTCTGTGCCGTGCGAAAGCTGTGGCTGAACGCAATGTTCTTGGAAGAGGCTTCCGGGTCAAACGTGTTGACCATGGCCGCCACCTGTACTCTAGATGGACTGCCTGGAAAGTGTCGTCCTGTTTTGGCCAGAGTCACAGGTACCAGGTAGTCACCCGGTGCTTGGACCTCGTAGCGATAGCTTAAGTGAACATCGGCGTGTGCTGAGGCAGCAGCAGCAGCAGCTGTGTTGGTTACGTCCGTTGGTTGACATTCGGCCACTTGGTCATTCGGTGATTGTATCTGCACTTTGATGTATTTGCTTGCCATAGATGCTACATCCTTGACGCCGCGGCAGTGTGCAATGATTTTCACTCCGATTATTAGCATGTGATCTTCTGTCATTGTACGAGTTATTGTCAGCTTACTACTGTCTACATCAATCATTCCGTCTTCCACCTCACCCAGTGTCCTTACTACTTTCCTGAAGGCATCATTGTCGGTTGGCGTGAAGTAGAAGCAGGTCATGCTACAAGGCTCTGCACTACTCTGAAGCACATTGTTGGCTTTCCAATCCAAGTGCTTGATCCAGTCTGACACGAGGAGTAACTCATTGGAGTTTGATGGTCTCCCGATGAAGTGCTCCTTCGCTGTGTCTCTCAGCTCTGCGCCGCTCTCCAGTTCATCCAACTTGCTCCGTTGCAGTTCTAGGTGTTTGAGTTTTTCCCAGCACAATCGGTCCAGCTGGGCTCTGAGGGCATTCTCTCGTTCGCGAAGGGTATTGATAGCCATCTCAAAGAATGCATGTACATCTTCAGACGCTTTTTCTGTTTGTGTAGTGATGTCCTCTATTGTGCTACTGACCTCTGCGATGGCTTTCGTCATTGTCATTCTGTTGGTGTCTCCTCGCTCATTCTCAGCACGGATGCTATCGCGTATGGCTGAAGCTTTCTCCTCAACTCTGACCAGCGCATGCCGACTGCCATCTGTCGTATGTGCGCCTGTGTCATAGCATCGCTGACAGCACGCATCCTTGCAGGACTCACAGTACAGCGACAGGGGGTGCTTCCTGTGCAAAGGACACACGTGCAGTGTGTGCTCTGTCTGCTGCGCGCTCGTGTCTGCCCTCTCCTGCAGACTAGCCACGGTGTGATGCCTGGATGAACGGCGGCGGGTGTGTGCCTGAGCACAGGTCTGGCACAGCAACAGTGAGCAGTTGACACACTCGTGTGTTGCTGCTGCTGCATCTTGCTCTTCACTCACATCACAATCATCACACAGCATTTCTGCTACTGCACTGCTAATTCCTGCTCCATTGATTCCTCGATGCTCAGCTTTGACGATTACTCCAGCTGAGGGTAGCAGGCTGGCTGTCTGTCTGGGCAGCTTGGTTGCTTCTCCGCATGCTTTGCACTTGACAACAGCATCTGCATTGATCTCATTGTCCAGGCACTCTCTGCAGATGATATGGAAGCAGGAGAGCAGCTTTCCTGGAGGCACTGACTGGCCAGCTGCTGCTGCTGCTGCTGCCACTGCTGTCTTTTGACAGAACACACAGTTGTATGCAGCTGAACTCACTTGAACAGCTGCCATTCTCCTGTGATCATCTAGTTCAAGTAGTTGTGCTATCCTGACCTGCAGTACCTACACTTGTCTTACACCACAGCAATCTCTTAGACCTCACAAGCACCTCGCAGTTCTTTCATCTTCCTGGTAGGGACAGGCCTGCAGTACTAGAGTAATGAGTGAAACTTCAACGGTAAGTAGTTAGTTTGCTTGAGCCCACCTTTTTTTTTCATCTGACGTGAAGAATTATTGGCAGCCATGTTGGAAGAGATGACAAGCCGTGGTCCTGCCATGACAGGTAACTGGTTGCCTGTGAATTCGAAGAAATATTCCGCGCGGAAGCATGGAAAATGACAACTCACGCACGCAGGTACATGTAGATCTACTGACTACTGTACATGATTGTACGTCTGGTTTACAACACACAACTTACTTCTTGCTCGTATACGCGTATCGATGTAGAGGACAAGTCGAAACCGTGATAAATGTTGAAGCGCGGCAGGAGTCCCAATTTGTTTCTGGCCAAATAGTTTCTTTGAGCTGCGTCCCTCACCATGTGTCGAAAACGACAGACACGGACTCATTCTCCAGGCGCTAGGCGCTATCGCTAGGCCATGACTTGGCAAAGCGTGTGACTTCGGCGACATTTTGAGAAAAGCAGACGCCTGTACAAGAAGTCGATCTATCGACGTGCCTGTATATTCAACACGTAGCCACATACATGTATACAGCGCAATGACTTCTACTCAGGCTGCGTTTACACGGAGACGAAACGAAACGGAACGAAACGGAACGAAAACGGGCTGGCCTGGAATCGTTTTCAAACCGTTTACACGAGAACGGCAAATCGTTTTGAACCGTTTACACGAAAACGGAAAACGGGCGATCAGGCTGGAGTTTAAAATAGCACGTGCTGGCTGTCGCAAAGGTCAGGTATTTCCCGCGAAATAGAGTCCCGCGCGGAATGGTTTCCATGACCGCGCTCCGTTTCCACTTTTTTGACCGTTTACACGAGAACGAAAACGTTTTGAAAACGTTTTCAAAACGTTTCAAGACACTTTGAAGTGCGTTTCCATTTCGTTCCGTTTAGGTATCGTTTTCGGGCGTTGTCGTGTAAACGATAGTAGTAAACCCAACGATTTCGTTCCGTTTAGGTCGTACTTCGTTGTCGTGTAAACGCAAATCGTTTTCAATCGTCGTGTAAACGCAGCCTCACTCGCACCGTTTCAGTGTTGTGTGTATGTTCACATGACGTGAGCCAGTCAAGTGTCAGTCACTCGGCAGGAAGCACAAACTCCAACAACAACATTCAACAAGTCGTTTGGCCCACCCGCACCTGGCCATGCGTTGACTTGACTCACCAAAATAACGAAGAAAAAAAGTTTGAGTTGAAGATAGGTACTACAGGTAGACTCCCTCTAATTCGAACCTCAAATTGCCAGGCTGGCCCTAAATTCGAATTATCCGGAACTTCTAATTACCGTAGAATCCCGCGGATAAGCCCACCCGCGTATAACTATAACCCCATGCCCGCGCATAAGCCCAGGGTTTGTTTGAACATCACAAAGCTTCATCGTACAAGCCCATGGGCCTAGGTCATACCGAGAGTCCATAAATTATGGACTCTTGGCCATACCATGTACGTAGTACATGCACATTATAGTTTTTTTCGTGCATTTCAGCACAATCATCGGTTGTTTTTGTTTGCACAGTGCCAGTCAGTGGTTTTCAGCAATGTACTTCTCACTTCCTTGATACTTTTCAATAGCACAACTTGGTGTCAGCGTATAAGCCCATGTCCGCGTATAAGCCCATGTTCTCGTATAAGCCCACCAAAATGTCCTTGTGAAACAGATAAGCCCATGGGCTTATCCGCGGGATTCTACGGTATCCAAAATGCAGTCCCATGTACTGACATGATAATTATGTACGGTATGTCAAAATGCTCGAAATTGCGTGCTGATTATTTTTGCACATTTCATTTGCACAAACGAAACGTAGGTGGTCATGAACAACGAAATCAGTTCATTTCACCAAAACACTGGATCGACATGAAGTCATTGGACATTATTATCATCTTCCACGAAGTTCTAGTGAAGCAGTTTTCAATCGCTGCAGTTGACAGGCTATCACCATGGCATGAGGTCCATGACAGCATGTTCATGCACAGTAAGGAGATGACATGTGCTAGATACCAGGGAGTCGTAAAGACTCAAAATCTAGCGTTTCAACGACCAATTTTTTTCGTTCAAGTTAATATTTGAAGAAACGTTATTGCGACATGTTTGTGTAAAGATGCGCATACAGATGGGTGGCCAGGTAGCCATCGTTAAACTTTCTGCACGTTATCATGCCAAAATTACAAAAACGTTAAACTTTTTAAGATTTTTCTGAGACTATCATCGTGGGAAATCATCTCAAAATTGATTAGGAAATGTCTTCTTCCAGAATTTTTGTACTATTTTGTTAGTTCAACGTTCTCAAGTCCACTTCGTTATTGCTTTTGATCGCACTAATAAAACTCTTGTCTCCACTTTGCTTATTCATTCTTTCTTCCTTCCTCTTCCTTTCTTTATCCTTTTTCTTTTTTTCTTTTTCCCTCTATTGTCACCATGGCTGGCCCACATCACCTCTTCATTGGGTAGTGCCACGTGATTGTGAATAAAATAAATTTCTTACTGACTGGTCTTGGAAGTATTGCCTGGACTTTGAATGGTTTGGCAATCATGCCCCTCAGCAGCGGCGGATGCAGCAATCTTTACAGGGGGTTCCAGTATAGTCAGATACATGTGCATGGACACGCATATGGTTGCCAGTACATGTAGTACTTTTACGAAGTTTAGGGGGTTCCGTGGAACCGCGGAACCCCTCCTGGATCCGCCCCTGCTCAGGAGGCAAAGTGGACACCGGTATACTGTTGCTACAGTAGAAAATTAATGCACACACAGTGGACTAGAATGCACATGCTCCTGTATTTGACGGAAAGTGGGGTCACTCAGCGCATATTGGATACATGTGTTTCCTTGTCTGGTGTAGTGTGTGTGTGTGTGTGTGTGTGTGTGTGTGTGTGTGTGTGTGTGTGTGTGTGTGTGTGTGTGTGTGTGTGTGTGTGTGTGCGCGTGTGTTTTGTGCATTCGGGATTTCGAGCCCAAATGGCACATCATAGATGTGTGCACTATGCTGCAGCAAATATGGGGCGTCATCTTTTGCAAACCAGTTTGACCATCCCACCACCACCACAACTGTCAGTCTGACAATGGCTGAACTACCCTGGATAAATTGCCATTATTGTGATTACGGTTGATTTTCTTGTCCTGTCTACAGATCTTATATTGCTACTGTACTTTGTTTGTCCTGTCTTCAGATCTTCATTAGACAGTGTACTGCCAAACTTCTATTCGTAGATGGCGTGTAGAAACTTGTCCTTCCTCTGTGTGTGTGTGTGTGTCTGTCTGTCTGTCTATCTGTCTGTGTCTGTGTGGGTGCTGTGTGTGTGTGTGTGTGTGTGTGTGTGTGTGTGGGTGTGTGTGTGTGTGTGTGTGTCTGTGTGTCTGTGTCTGTGTGTGTCTGTGTGTGTGTCTGTATGGGTGCTGCGTACGGGTGCGGGTGTGTGGGTGCTGCATGCGTGTGTGCGTGTGTCTGTGTGTGTGTGTGGGTCTGCTTTGCTAGGTTCGACGGTAATGTCATATCTGTTGTGTCAGACCGTGATATCAATGCAGGATGTGAGGTGACACATTGCTATGGTAAGCACTAAGCAGGACTAGGTACACTCTACTCTCTGATTGCTGTAGACTATCTTTGGAGGAGAGAATGGGCTTCATCTTCATCGTAGCGATTGGTTGTCAGGTGCAAGTTTGAGAGCCTTTTTTTGTTTTTAAAGTTTCTTTGGAGCTTCTTCATTGCTGTTACTCTAGGGAGCAGACATGCCAGTCCTGTGTTAGGTGTGCTCATTACAGAATGCATTACATCTTGATGGGGAACAGCTGATACTGAACAAGCATGTCCTTAAAATGTGTCTGTACCGGTTGTAACAACTTCTTGAGTCGAGGAATAGATTCTCAATGGGGCAGTATTTCTTTGGATGCAAATGCCTTGCTTGGTAAGACGTATACACCGGTATCCTTTGTTGGGAGGTTTTGCTAAGGGAGATACTTCAAATTAGTTCAAAAATGGAGGAGAAGTGTTGATTGTACATGTACTGCTGTCTTGGTGTGTGCTAGGAGTTGATGCCATTCGTTCTCCCGACACCGATAAGCGCTCTCAGGCTTTGAGCAAGCAGTATTTCTTTCAATGCAAGTGCCTTGCTTGGTAAGAGGTGTAGAGCACGTGATATGGCCGTTACCTAGTAAAAACACTTGTAATTAATGACCAGTCAGCTGCCTTCCACATTAAATAAAAAAATAAAAAAATAAATTCGACGGGTTCGCGTAACGGGCAGGTCAAGAACAAGGAGTCGTACAACTCCCTGGTCAAGAACCACCTTTCCGCTTCCGTGGGACGCCACCACCCCATGATCAGGCGTCAGATGCGGCTCCTGAACGGTGGGGGACATTAAACATACCAGTATTGCCATTTGAGATCAGTTTCCACCCAATTGACGGGCAAAGAATAGGTCCTGCGGAGGAATGTCTCACTTTTTTATACACGCCTATGTAACGGCGTTGCATGCCATGAAAGTCACGCAGCCTTGAGCATGTGCATGGTATTTGTTCATTTTTCACATGTTTTTCTCAACTGTTATCGTCGTTGCATAGGCATTTTATTCTCATGAGATGGCTTGTGATCCTAAATCGTGTGCGTTGGTGCGGAATCGGTGTGATTTTTGTGTAGTGAGAATGGTGATGCAGCTGAAGAACGTCTGGCAGCCTGCTCATCTGGGATCAGTGCGGACCGCATCAAACTGGTATGTACCGTAGTGTCTTAAAAAAAAGTCTGTCTCGTATAGAAGCCTGATTTTCAAGATACACTGTCGGCACATAAGCCTGATTTTAGTGCTGACACACATAGAAATACCTGGTTTGAATAGAAGCCTGATGTGAATAGAAGCCTAGCCCTGACATCGGCTTCTACAGGAGTAAGCCCGGCTTTAATACGCGACATTACGGGTATGTTCAGCTTATCCTTACTGTAGGTCACTAGGTGCTACCAATAGCGCGAAGAAGTTGGCGACTTCCAAAGTGGAGCTCGCACTTCCTGTCGCCTTGACTGAAATTTGACTGAAATTATGGCACGTCGAATGCGGAGAGCCAATGGAACTGCGCTGTTCCTTGGCAGCAAGGATGTTTACCACGTGCCGCGGAGCAGTGTCGCCATAGTGGAACTTAGCCATTCGGTGTGGTAGAGTTAGCATACTGTACATGTGTTCTGCAACAGCTGGAGAACGTGTTTGTTGTTTGCTTGTAGATGTCGGCAGAGGTGGCTACATTGATGGACAGAGGCACTTCTTTGCGTGATGCCGGCAAACTGACAGGTACTGTGCCCCTGTGTTCCAGCAGTGCTTGCGAAGTACAGTTTATGATGGAGATTGTGTTCAGTATATGGGGTGCGAACCGCTAAGCAGGGATGACATCCTGATCTCATGTAGTATGCATTGTTATTTGAACTTACAAGTATTTCCGTGCCTCCCTTGGACGCTTGAGAGCGTTCAAGATCGATGCACCAGCGTTGAGGGCCGTAATTAGTTTTTCCTGGTACCGTATATGCCACCGCGGCTTTTCTGCACAGCAGTGGCAACAGCAAATACCGTAAAGTACCGTTGATCCGCCCCCTCTCTAATTCCCGCCCCCTGTCGATTTTCCACCTGTGAAGCGACTTCGGCGTATACAACGAAAATAGGATGTTGAACCGACGCATGCACTGCTGTACACAATATTTGCCAATCCAGGATGAAAATGTGCACAATCCAGCACATCGAGTCTGAACTTCTACGTTGTACATCGTACTGCACTTTTATTTTATTTCACCGTCCAATGGCAGAAGCCAATGCAAAGGAGGGGGCGTTAGCCAGCCATGGCAAGAGAAGAAAAAAGAAAGAAAGAAGGAAAGATGATAATTGGAAGAAAGGAATGCATCAGCGGGGTGAAATGTATCACTATGTTGACCATGGTAGAGAGCGGCGAGATAAGCTAGCAAAAGAGTGTTTGAGTGTGTGATGTGTAAGAATATTCGTCCGAAGACGATCGACCCACGACCATAGAAGACTGTATTAGAATATAATTTATTACTACGACATTGTCACAATGTGGTGACAGGAAACACAACAACTCTCCAGTCAAAGGAAAAGAACCACGCCAAAACCGTTTGGCTGCATCCACAGATTAAAAAGGATAAAAGACGCAAACAATCATAATCTGGAGTGGAATAATTACAACTCATCACATATCTGACAGCGAGCCTACAACGTGGCATGACACTATGAACTGTCTAATATTGGATATTGTCTTCATTTCGATGGGCAGCTTGAGCCAATACGAATATGCAGAAAAGATAGGAGATTTGGTAAACATAGTTGACAAAGCTCTGGGCAGTACTATGCCATTGCGAGTGTCCCGTGCGAAAGTAAACCAATTATACTTGCTGAGATGTTCAGGGACAATGTTCAGTTTAATGCGATGGACCAGAACGCATGACTGTCTCTGCGACAGGATAGAGATGGGGCTGGTGGAGGCCAAACTATATAGATCAGTAGAGGGGAATAGAGAGGGTTTACGAAAAATAATTTTCAACACACGTTTGTGATGTATTTCTAGTGCCTGTACAGCAGATTTACTAAGCAGGGAATGCCAAGCAGTGGCGCCGTACAGAAAGATAGGAAGAAGGTAGCATTTATAAAAGAGACGAATACATTCGGGGGGACAAGTGGGAGCAGTGAGACATCGGGCAACCTACAGATTTGCTAACTTTGTTGCATACAAAATCTACGTGAGAATTCCAGGACAATTGCGAGTCAAATACAACACCCAAATGCCTGTGCGTATCTACAATATTAATAGCCGAATCAAGTCCGGGAAGGGTAAATGTGGGAGGGTGGTCTAGTTGAGGGAGAAAGACTATTTCTGTCTTCAAGATATTGGGTTTCAGATGCCATGACAACATCCATTTATGAACAACATTGATTCCATTCTGGAGCTTCGTACACAGGTTTGCAATGTCAGCGTCAAACTGAATGAGGGCTGTGTCATCAGCAAATAGTGACAAACCATCTATACAGTCAGGTAGATCGTTTATATACAACAAGAATAGTAGAGGCCCCAGTATAGATCCCTGGGGGACTCCCGACTTAACAGGCAGTGGGTCTGAGAGTACCCCTTCGAGGCTTCGACTGACACTGCTTGCGTTCTATCTGTTAGGTAGTCCGCAATCCACGCCAGCTTCTTGACAGCCTTGATCTCATTCCCGCCCCCTGCCGAAAACCCAGCTGGAAGTGACATGGCGTGGGGGGGGGGGGCAGATCAACGGTACTTTACGGTACAATGTTCAAATATGGTTGTGCTGTTCTTCCAGAATCGGTGGATTGTTTGCAGCGTGCCGTCACGTTGCAGCGTCAGTATTTGCCGGAGAATGACATCAGCCTTGGCTATACTCACGACTGCCTGGCCAATGTCTTCTACCAGCTAGGTAAGTGAGTGGACCTGTTGCTCTGTGCATGCTCTGTGCATGCTCTGTGTATGCTCTATGCGCGCTCGGTACATGCTGTGTGCATGCTGTGTGCATGGTCTTTGTGTTGGTGTGTAGCTAAGTCAACCTATCCTTAGTGACTGAGTTTTTTTTCAAGCTTGCTGGAGAGCTGAATCCGGAATCAGCGCCATACTGCAGTGTACAAAACAGCAGTCAAGGAGTTTCAGGATTGCTTTGTTGTCATCTTGACTCCAGTGCATTTTCACTGTCCTGTGCATGGCATCAAAGACAGGAAATGTTTGCATCACCAGATATCTGGCCCTCTTGCAAGTGCTGAACTATGATTTCGGATCCCACCAACAGTACATAGCCCCAAGAGTGTGCAACTCCACTATGGGTGCTGTCCCGACAGAATTTCAAGCTGGCGTCATTTGTATGATGCGATGCGCATTGTACACGTATTATAATATCAGACGTATCCTGGAACTGCCGTTGATTAATCCTCGTTTTATCGAGAACAAATTGGTTCAAAGAAACACATGTGATGCGTTGTACAAACATCATAAACCACTCGTGCGAGAAGCATTGTATCATAAGAGTGACTTCAACTTGACAGCAGGGTATGCGGGAGTTGCTGCACTGCTGGTTATGTACTCTTGATCCCATTCATCATCGCTGCCGAATGACTTGACACCTCTGAGCTTATCTTTGGCATGTGGATGTTTCCGTAGTGTAGTGGTTATCACGTGTGCTTCACACGCACAAGGTCCTCGGTTCGAACCCGAGCGGAAACATTTTTTGTTTATTTTTAAAAATCCTCTCGGAAAAGTTCGAGAGCTGTTCTTATGGGCGATTCACACGACAGGCAAATCCACGTGCACCGGAACGTTGCTATGGTATTTCACCCGTGAACGAGAAAAGTGGCTGAAAGTGGCTGAAAAGTGCAAGCGAGCTAGCTGGGGGCCAACTTTCTCATTAATCGTGGCGTCCACGAGTACATTTACACCAAAAAGCGCGAAACAAGACTTGTTTTTTTACGCGGCTCTTTTCACCATGATATTAATTTATTGTATGCATGTTTTGAAAATTTGAAATACTCATGGCAACTGGTAGGTGAATCATTCAAAAATGCCGATGTGCCTGTTGAGCGCAGCCGTGTGAATCCACTCAGTCACTTTTCTGGTGAATCACTCCCTGTAAAACGTGCAAGTGCCTGTCGTGTGAATAGGCCATTATATCCTCTCCGACTTTTAGGAGGCTTTCCAAAGCTCTCCAAGCTTCACAGGTGGTTGAAATTTGGAGATTCCCGCGGTTTGGGATCAGCGCATGCCAACTACGGCTAAAAGCCACGTGTTGATCATGAGTGTACGCATTTCCCTTTTCGCATATGCGCAGTGCTGTGGCACTCAAGATCGCGGCCCCTTCAGCGCTTCATATTGCTTGACATGTGCAAAATATCTCCGAATTCTTCGAGACCCGTTCTTGAATTATACCAATTTCTTCTCTTTTCTTCTTCTCCGAGAAGCTAGAGAATATAAGAACGCACCCTGAGGCTGTGTTAATATGAGGCGTTTCAACCCGGGTTGAGTTCGACCCGGGTCAGATTTCAACCCACCATGTACACGAAATGAATGGCGCGTTTACATGACGCATTGCGCTTGACCCGGATTGAAATTTCGCCCCGGGTTGCTGGGGGAGGGGGGGGGGGGGTGTTGAAATCAACCCGGGGCGAGAAATCGTACTAACGTACTTCTATGCGTATCTCACGCCATGTTTGAACAGCACTGCACATGCAAATTCCGCGCGAAAGTATTCACGTGACCATACAGGACTCTGGAAGTGGACTTTTGGCGGCATATCAGTATTTGACCTGGGTCAGCTGTCTTCATGTAAACGCTCACCTATTTTGTCTATCGTACAGACTTTCAACCCGGGCTGAACTCGACCCGGGTTGAAATTTCTCATGTAAACACAGCCTTGGTTTGTAGATATCAGGGAGGGTTTATACGACTCCCTGGTAGAAAATGAGATTACGTTCGGCTATTCTGTAGCACATGATTAGGTTTTGATTTATTTTACCGGGTATGGTATCTCTATGTCTGCTACTTACCTTATGAGATCAGGCATACTGGGTCAAGCAGTCTGATTGTAATAATTATGTTCTGATGACGCATTGCTTCGCGTACTTGGATACCTGAGATTGCAGTATCCTTGCCGCATGCAGAATCCATGTGTTTACCGAGTACATTGAATGTAAATGCACAAGATTCAGTGACTTTAGCCTTTTTTAGGATACTTCAGTAAACTGTACTAATGTGCAATGCTGTGCTATTCTGAAGACCATCAGTCCTCAACCTGTGTTGTCTCGACTGCTGTATCCTATCATACATGCCAGGTGATTGTGCAACGGCTGTTCAACACAGCTCTCTCAGCCTAGCCGTTGTGCAGAGTGTCTACGGCAAGTACAGCATGCAGGCCGCCAGTGAGCACTTCAAGCTGTGCCAGCTACTGTTCAACAGGTTGGTGGCCACGTTTGCATTCATGAGTCACAGTGCATGTACAGTGAAACCTGTCTTAGGCGACCCCTCAAGGGACAAGAAAAAGTGGTCGCCGTGGCCAGGTGGTCTTCTTATCCAGGTTCAGTGGGTCACGTGACCATATCCACGTCATAATACATGTGATACATCATTGTGATCAGTGTATCACACTGCACACACCTATGCTACTCTCGCACGACTCATGTGCCTGGTGTCCTCAGACCTGTCAACTGCCGTGCATGCACCATGCACATCTACACTTCCTGCACAGATGTGTAGACCTACCATGCATGGTACACCATGCAATGCATACATTTACATGTCCTAGCACTGTGCAAAGCGGTTGCGGGTGGGTGGTCGTCGGTCGCGTTGAGCGAGTGGTCGCCTTATTCGAGCTGTTTTGAATGTGAATGCGTCCGTGACAAGGAATATTGGTCGCCATATCCGAGTGGTCGCCATTACAGGTTTTACTGTATGTGAACTTAAACCGATTCAACTAGTCTACACTATTTTTCTAGCTGTGCCCTTTTTGAAACCGCATGTCGTGTTACTAGTATTGGCTTGGCCATTGCAAAGAAGTAGGTGCCTCCAGCACTACAGCAGTCCACGCTGTGTTCTTGGTCCACTAGCTACACTCACACACCACCACCATAGCGAGGATAATTCCATGTTAGTACATGACTGTTGTATTGATATTGATATTGGCAGACCCTCCAGAAAGTGTATGTTTGATTGTTTGTGGGTTTGTGTTGTGCGATATGCAGCGGTGATGCCAGTCAATTTCTTCAAGTATCTGGAGATGGTGTTGCTGTGATGAAACAAGCGCTGGGTGACTCACACGACGACACGGTGGAACTCATGGAGATGAGAAGATTTGTCCGTGCGTCTGCTCGATGACAATGACCAATACCAATCGACCGTGTTGCCTGCTGCACCGCCAAGTGCACTACCAGAGGAAGGTAGTCTCGTTATCGATCATCTGCCTACTTCCGTTGCCGTTTTCACAGTGTTTGTGCAATGACAGATTACTATGTGCAAATCAATTATCCATAGCCTAGAATCATAGGTCAGGGCGTAATGCTCTTCAAGTACTTGTACATGTAACAGCATCGATGCTGTAACAGTTGATGGCTTACATGTGGATTATCTCCGGTTGCTTATACAGTCGTCCCTCTTTAATCCGGCACCTTTTGCTACGGCGTTTTCTGCTGGATTAACGAGGGTGCTGGATTAAGAAATCCTGCCCTCTGACCCGGCCCTACCCAATTGCATGCATGTATCATTATGTCAAAGCGCAGGGTTTTTCCGTGTCGACCCAAGTATTTGGTGCACGGCTTTATATTCTCAACTGTTCTCCAGGAATATACACAGTGATAACGTGATAAAGTAAAACAGAGAACATGTTCACATGTACTCTTGCACACACACACACACACACACACACACACACACACACACACACACACACACACACACACACACACACACACACACCTGGAAATTGGCAGGACACTACTCCTTGCTAAAATAAGAAAGTATGGTTGACTGCTTAGCCGTTGTCTCCTGGACAACATTGACCCTCTTGAGAAGGCCACGCAAGCAGTCGACATCATGCAGGTCGAACGTTGTAGTTAGTTGTAGATCGTCAGTACCGTCGGTCAGTGTCGTGCAATGTTATCGCATGAGCTGATTGTTTAGTAACTGGTGGTGTTAGTGGACAGTATAGCGTAACTTGTAGTTCCTTGGTCTTTCTCTTTGTATAAATTGAGTTAGGGTTCGGAAAAGTCCTAACACCCAACCGAACTGAACTCTCCCGCGCGAGGTCGAGTACAGTGTCAACTGAACTGAACTCTCAGCCGAAGTGGCCCCGCGCGCGCGCGGCACTGACCAGACTGGCCTAGCCTGGCCTGGCAAGGAGTGCACCTGTATGGTACGCGATTTACGACTGCCGGATTATGAAATCAAACTACGTGCAGTTTGAGCGATTCGTTTCAAAAGGTCACTGCCGGAGGCGGAATTCAAGTGCCGGATTAAGATGTAGAAATTGAACGAAAAAAATCGGTTTCGTCAGAAAGTGCGCCGGTTGGCAAGGGTTCCGGATAAACAAGTGCCGGATTAGAGAGGGACGACTGTACTACAACACGATGCACTTCCAGTACACCATCAACTTTACTACTCCCCAGTACACATGCTACCTTTTTTAAACTAGTGAACCAGCATTGCTTGTCTCTGATCAAGAGTACATGAAAACCAGAGTGTGCAGCTCGGATGGGTTGCTGTCACGGCGGAATTCCGTGATTACATCATTTTAGTGATGTAGTGCGTACAAGCAGGATTCAAGCAGGTCTCTTTCTGCACAACTGCAGCTCAGTTGTACGCACTACACCATTTCCCGCCTCAGATCTGCGCCAAAATAATATGATGTAATCACGGAATTCCGCCGTGACAGACACCCATAGTAGAAAAGGTCCCAAGCTGCACATTCTGGCTTTCATGTACTCTCATGCATGCCCCTATGCTAGTCCTAAATTACACAACCACAACAAACTGTTGTCAGTGGTAACCTCCACCTTCAAGCCACCACCACCTACAGGAAGAACTCGATATATTTGTAAGGTTACTTTGCTGAGTTGGGCACACTCTGAGTGGACTCTTGACAAGTTGGTCCAGCCATATCTTGCCTTCAAAGCAACTGCCTGCAAAGCTCATAAAGCAACCAAAAAAAGCCAGAGGCAAAGGAAAGGAAACGGAAAAGTGCAGATAACACTAATAATCATGGGGAACTCAAAGCCTATTAGCCCTTTTTCTGGTTGTCTGTCCAGCAGTTACAAGAGAATGAGCATACCGACAAAGGATAGGGAGAAAGGTATAGGGAAAGAAAGAGAGAGCGAGCAGCAATTCTCTAAATACCTCTGCTGCCCGTGCGAAAAGAGTGGAACAGTCTAGGAAACAGAACTGCCGGTGCTAGTAGGCGAATAATACATGTACAACAAGAAGCCATGTACTGATATTGGTGCTGGTTGTATGCTGCAGAGTATGGCCGCCATCACGTGGCAAGGGCTTTTGATGCTGTAGAGCAGCACCCACGTCGTCAAGAGTGCATGCCGATCATCAATGACAGCAAGCGGAGGGCCCGGAGAAGAGACATATGCGCATGAATAGGTAAACAGATGTTGTATTGTGTTCTAGCTTCAGGATTGCAGATGTTGCGTTGTGTTCTAGCTTCAGGATTGCTGCTGCTGCTTGACTATGATCTTGCCTTTCTGACTGCGGTTGGTAAAGTTGTTGTTTCGTGAGCAGATGTAGTGGTAGATCGTGTCACGTTCGCTGCTGCCTTGGAATGACAGCAGAGCACCAGTGAAGGATGCAGGTGCGTTGTTCAGCAAGTTGTTGAGAGGATCAGCGGCACTTTTGGCGTTCCTGCTGCAGCCGTCGAAGCAGTGGAAGAAGCCAGCCGAGGCCATAGCAACCGCCAGGTCTTGGTTCGTGAATGCTGCCTTGTCTGTGCCAAAGCTCCTCCAGTAGATCGTGGCGTTCTTGAACATGCCGTATGATTCCATGGGCAGAGGGTAGTTGACGGCAGCAGAGCTAATCTCGACCATGTTGTGACGATCGGTTCCTACAGGGAGTATACAGAGTAACACGCAGCAAGTTACTAAAACCATGTCGACCAAGACTTGAGAGCCTTGCCTATCATCTTGTGCACGCACACACGCTTACATGCACACACGCTTACATGCACACACGCTTACATGCACACACGCTTACATGCACACACGCACACACGCTCACACACACACACGCTTACATGCACACACGCTCACATGCACACACGCTTACATGCACACAATGTCTGCTAAAAGTGAAGTTTACATCCTGCATCTGCTCACAGGTACGCCGTTCTACCGGCCCTACTGTAATGATCCGTGCTGAGGACTCATTGCAGAGCTGCAGTGATCCCCCACACACCACCACCACACACACACACACTACCCATGCGAGTGGAGACTCCAGTGTATGTCATCAAGGTCATGGGCCAGGGTGTATGCCATAATGTGCTAGAGTGGTGTCTACAATGAATCAATGATATAATTATATAGTGATGCTGTACAGTGACGGCTTATGTACAGTGATACTATCACAGACCGTCACTATGTACAGTGATAGTGTACTCGTATGTATACTGAACTCCGCTGAGAGATCTAACAAGATAGAAACAGCTAGCTGACCGGAGACTGAGTACAGTGATTGTGTATGTAGTATCATAGTATGTATTACCATGTACACTGTAACAGTGGCAGTGTATGTACAGTGACAGTGTATGTACAGTGACAGTGTATGTACAGTGACAGTGTATGTACAGTGGCAGTGTATGTACAGTGGCAGTGTATGTACAGTGACAGTGTATGTACAGTGACAGTGTATGTACAGTGGCAGTGTATGTACAGTGACAGTGTATGTACAGTGGCAGTGTATGTACAGTGACAGTGTATGTACAGTGACAGTGTATGTACAGTGACAGTGTATGTACAGTGGCAGTGTATGTACAGTGGCAGTGTATGTACAGTGGCAGTGTATGTACAGTGACAGTGTATGTACAGTGGCAGTGTATGTACAGTGACAGTGTATGTACAGTGGCAGTGTATGTACAGTGGCAGTGTATGTACAGTGACAGTGTATGTACAGTGACAGTGTATGTACAGTGGCAGTGTATGTACAGTGGCAGTGTATGTACAGTGGCAGTGTATGTACAGTGGCAGTGTATGTACAGTGGCAGTGTATGTACAGTGACAGTGTATGTACAGTGGCAGTGTATGTACAGTGGCAGTGTATGTACAGTGGCAGTGTATGTACAGTGGCAGTGCATGTACAGTGGCAGTGTATGTACAGTGACAGTGTATGTACAGTGGCAGTGTATGTACAGTGACAGTGTATGTACAGTGGCAGTGTATGTACAGTGGCAGTGTATGTACAGTGGCAGTGTATGTACAGTGACAGTGTATGTACAGTGACAGTGTATGTACAGTGACAGTGTATGTACAGTGGCAGTGTATGTACAGTGGCAGTGTATGTACAGTGGCAGTGTATGTACAGTGACAGTGTATGTACAGTGGCAGTGTATGTACAGTGGCAGTGTATGTACAGTGACAGTGTATGTACAGTGACAGTGTGTGTACAGTGACAGTGTATGTACAGTGGCAGTGTATGTACAGTGGCAGTGTATGTACAGTGGCAGTGTATGTACAGTGGCAGTGTATGTACAGTGGCAGTGTATGTACAGTGACAGTGTATGTACAGTGGCAGTGTATGTACAGTGACAGTGTATGTACAGTGACAGTGTATGTACAGTGGCAGTGTATGTACAGTGGCAGTGTATGTACAGTGGCAGTGTATGTACAGTGGCAGTGTATGTACAGTGACAGTGTATGTACAGTGGCAGTGTATGTACAGTGGCAGTGTATGTACAGTGGCAGTGTACAGTGGCAGTGTATGTACAGTGGTGATGTACGACTAGGCCGGTATACCACAAGCACACCTACTACAAATGCATACCGTAAAGACGTACCGCGAGAGCGCCCCGCCTTGATTTTGCAGCCAGGGAAAGGAAAACCGTATGGCAGAGTGCAACTAAGTTTGTACGGTGTGAGAATCACAATGTACTAAGGTCATGCTTAGCAGGATTTTGTGATTTTGTGTGGAGCTCGTGTCAGCTCCAAGGTAAATATGAGTAGGGATTGACTGCACTATGTGCATACAATGTTCGTATCTTATAATCTTCAGACAGGACACCGCCTCCACAATATGACCACGAAAGAACGAGATGGTGGGGTGCTCTCGCGATACTTTCCGGTACTGGTGGACTACTGGTTGTAACACAACATGCACACCGTTATGTTGATTCTGCTCGGCTGGGTCAGACAGGCGGTTTACTTACCTTTGGTCCCCTCTCCAGCATCACCAGCCTGCCCATCACCAGCAGGGTTACCGTTGTTGTGTGTGTTGGAACCTAAAACAGAGCAGGTTGAATCAGCTGATCACTTGTTTTGAAGGGTACACACGGAAAGTTGGGTGTGGTCCTCGAAAGAGTGCTCAATGCACCGGGGTGCAGAGCTTCATACAAAAGGAATCAAACTCGGAGTCACAGCCAACCCAAGCTCCGTATTCAAACTCGGAGTCACAGCCAACCCAAGCTCCGTATTCAAACTCGGAGTCACAGCCAACCCAAGCTCCGTATTCTATTCCTTTTGTTTTGAAGGGTATTCGCACGACAAGGTGTACACTTCCAGCACTGTTCGGGCCTCTGATGTCCTCCTGTAACGCCACTAGCTATTAGCTATTTACTTCAAAAGACAATGACATTAGAGAGGTTCCACACTACGTAAAGTTGAGCAACTTTACGTTAGTGGGCGGGGAAAACCCGTGAATTCGCGAGTTTGCACTCCACTTACGGAAAGTTGTCTACGTAGAGTACGTAGATAGGGCTCTGATATCGTAGCTGGTCCGTAAGTGGATTGGGGTACAAATTTATGACTCTCTCCCCAGGTCGATCTGGTCGTACACTGCCGCGTTCGGAGTTGCCAAGGGCAGCTACGTGATTTGAAAACGCCGTATGGCGGAACACAGATGCGCATGCAGTTTACGTAAGACTTTTCGTAGATCGACTACGTTTTTTTACTAACGTAATTACGTTATGCGGAACCTCTCTATTATAAATTCGGAACGACATTAACAATTCGGAACGATGGTCAGAGTGACCGAAATGTTGAGAAAGAACCATCCGACTGTGTGTGTGTGAAATAGCAGTGCATCCAAGTGTTGGCCAGTGTTGCCATAAGACAAGTTGATGACAATGATATTGCTAAAGGGGAAGTATACCCTAAAATCAAATTTTCACCAGTTGTAGTCTTCGGGGTGCTGAGTCGCAGTCACCCAGTTTCGGTGGAAGTGGCGAGTTCGATTGGGAATAAAGGAGGAAGAGAGCATCTCAGCTTCCTCGGACCAAGACTGTTCGACTCAGCACCCTGAAGACTACAACTGGTGAAAATTTGATTTTAGGGAATACTTCCCCTTTAATAATTTTTTATTGCCTCACCTGTCCATTGTATGTGTACATAGTCGGTGGGATCGATGACCAAGGCCGTAGGGACAAAGTCATACTCCACTGACGGATACGTTTGTACAATGTTACCCCGCTTGCCGCGCACATTCAAGTTCTTGATGGAGACGGCGTCACTGTCTGGCTGACCAAGCTGAGTTCTGGGCAGCAGACGGATGACGTGTGAACGATCTTGGAAGGTGCGTCCAAACTGAGCAGTGTTGATGGCCAGGCGGAGGGCTTGATTCGCCCTGCTGCCAATGTTTACGTTAGGATTCTGCTCCACTGGTGATCGGCGACCAAGCGCGCTGTAACGAAGCACAGAAACAGTCCAGGCGCATCAATTGTAGCCAGTTGCCAAGCCATGAAGCCTCTCTGAAGGAATCGAAGCATTAGAAACCCACTGTATCCTGTACCTTTCTCAGCTTTGTATATTTCCTCGAATCTGTCGATGCTGCTATGCTGAGACTCACCTGCTATGTACGTGCCAGTGCAGCAGTGATCTCATCGAGAGACCACCCTCCATGCCGAAGCTGCACATTCTACTGTCGTGGACATGGAAATCCGGTCGCACGTCTAGCAGCCCCAGGGCCATGCTGGCCATGCAGCCCCAGGGCGCTGGCCATGCAGCCCCAGGGCCAGGGCGCTGGCCATGCAGCCTAGCCGTGGATAAGCGGAACATGATGCGCATGCAGCGCTCTGGTCGCATCGCGATCGGATCAAGATGACGTTGTGCACTGCATGCAGCGCTCTGGTCGCATCGCGATCGGATCAAGATGACGTTGTGCACTGCATGCAGCGCTCTGGTCGCATCGCGATCGGATCAAGATGACGTTGTGCACTGCACGCAGCGTTCTGTACGCGCTGAGGGCGCCGGCCCCGGTCAATCGACTGGATTTCCATGTCCGCTACAGTAGTTCCTTGTAGAGTACTATTTACAATGTGTACTCTTGATACCAAATGTACTCGAGTCTCAAATCAACCTATCATCTGTACCAGTTCGCACATCATGCAAAGTCAGCCACTGTGGAACTGCTATCGAACCGGGCCCACCTTTATCAGAACGACGCAAACACAACGTAAGCAGATATATTCAGGTCCAGTTTGAATTCATGAGTACATGGTGTGATGCAGGTGAATTCATCTGGTGGAGTTAGCGCCGTGTGCACTGGTCCTTATGACAGCTGCACACGCTTGAGCCCTACACTCCCAATGTCCTGTGACTGAGAGGAGTGGGCACTAGCAGACACTGGTAGAAAGACTTACACATTTTGGTTTTGTCTGGAAGTAGTACTCCATGGGTCATAGTCATCGGTGCTGATGTTGTACCTACAGACAAGAACACCGGGTCGCAAATGCAGCGAAACCACGCATCAAAGACTGCTCTGGGCCATGCACAAAGACTGCTCTGGGCCATGCACGGTGTGCTAACAGTGTGCCAATAGGGTTATTTCCATCATCATAACTGTTTTAAAATGCACAGATAATAGCTTTGTAGAATTCATGTACATGAGTAGCCACCTAATGTAGCATTACCTCTCAACCAAATATAACTTTAAAAGTTCACGGTTCACTTGAGACTCAGTTACACTGACTTTTCAGCATCTGTAGGAACACCACCACCCTGCAAAGATCAAAGGCGACACTATACGGCCATTGTTTTTTATATCTATGTTTCACGTCATCCGCACGCATACGTTTTGATTTTTTCTGAAAAAAATAAAAATAATTGAACATGTACAGTGAGTGCACGATTGTGCGAGTCATCGTGTGGACTGGTTGCAAACGGCGAAGATGGGATTCAGAAATGGCCTCGAGGCCAACGTTGGTAAATCGTTTGTTCGGCAACTGCGAACAGTATTCTGTGAGCTTACACCAGACTGCTCGATCGCCTCAAGCTGAGAGGAAGCGTCGTTCCGGAGTTCTTTGCACCGCTGCTGAAGGCTGAGTACAATAACCCAGCGAAACATGGACACCAACGGTTGCCTCCTCTGTCCAAAGCGAATATTTATTCGTGCTGATAACTCAGATTTTGTGCTTCGGTGTACGATTTTTCTTTCAAATGTACGCCATGCACGAATGTGCTATATACAGTGCACGATGAGCTTTTTTTTTTGCAACTTTTTTCCACCTCTCACATATGATTCTGGATGTTGAACTGACGCGAAACATAGATATAAAAAATGATGGCCTAAAGAGCGATCAATTGTTGATTCAAAGTGTAACCGTGTCTACTCCTTCACCTGGCACACGCACACACATGCACACATCCCGTGTAATCGGCTCTACTGTCCGCCAACTCAATCAGCCCATCAAGCGAGTGTGTTGTTTAAATTCGAGGATACACTCATCATACCTTACTCGCAGGACACATCGCTTCTCTCTATTGGACGGAAAGTGCGGCAACGTCCACTTGTACGTAAGCGGCTGCCCATCGCGCCCATTGCCAAGATGGTTGACCCGTGACCAGTCGGCTGCACGGCACTCGACTGGAGAAGGTGCCACGTAGCACACATCCGGATCCGCTTCAAAGACCTTGCCCCAGAAGACGTTGCCAGTCTGAAATAGCATCATACATGTAGTCAAGGAGATGAGTTTCTAATAAGCCTGCACTTGCTGTATGTTGTCCACGATGGTATTTCTAGAACCAATATCAAACGGTCTCAGGACCGGCCGGCGGAGGCAGTTTTCAATTGACCCAGTTGTACAATAGCCTTTCATACTTTGTAAATACTCCGGTGCGTACACACGACCGCCTCAGTAGTAAACACACGCTGGAGGCCATGGCCTGACGAACCGGATTAGTTCTGCTGGGCTGGTGTCTAGCAGTACTGGTGTAAACTTAGTAAAGTAAGCCATGACTTCATCGTGGCCTATATACGGCAAACAATTTCCTATTCCATTGCAAGAATAGTGTTTAGAGACACCTATTGTTGTGTTAGCAGTATCGACAATGCTGAAACCCAGCAGATTCTAAGGCATGTCATGTACACGTGTGCACCAGTTACTTAGGTCAATGCGGCATAGTGCATACAGTGCTATAGTATGTTAGTAGTTTTCAGAGAGTGCATCCCAGTCCCCATCACTGTGTGCTTGGCTGCACACACCCCAGCCCCAGGCAATGCAGCACGGTGGCAATGTGTACCTACTAGTACCTACCGTGTTCAACGTCTCACAATCACCCTGGTTGGCAGCAGTGAGAGTTTCCAAGACGGTGCGGTTGTACAGCCAGCGTGTTGCATTCGTCCTCGTGCACTCAGCTTCATTATTCCAGCGTGCATAGGGCCGCAGACGAACATCACTGCCGCTTGCTGTCGGGTCGTACAACTCATAGCACTGGTACTTGAGCGCAGTGTTCTGACTATTCGGTCGGTAGTATGTTTCACAATGGCTGATGTTGTCGGTCAGCACAGCAATGTCAATCCATGCTGTTGGATGCCAGTAGGGATAGTAGTCCCGCTCCTCTGGGCACTCGTAACCACGGCGATTGCCCTGCGGGTTCTGGCGCGTGTAGATAGCAGAGCTGTAGCCGAAGGGACCGTTGCGCAGTCTCTGGTCGGCCGTGAAGAGGCCTGTCATGAACAGGTACAGTCACCATACATGTGTGCATGACTGCATGTGGTTGTATTAGTAACACCAAGGGAACACTCAACATGCACTCTGAAAGAGTTTGTTGTGTGAGTATCTTGCCAGAATACGAAACTGTTTTCCTTGCAAATGTAGAATAACACCAAAAGTTCGAACATGCACCTGCACATCTACAGCAACTGTACGAGTCGTACATCTGCAGCAGCACATACCATTTTGCCCGTAGAAGAAAGCGTATACACTGTTCGGTTGCGCTCGGTGAAATCCGACCTGAAATGCAAAACTGGCGTCCTGTGCCAGTTCTGATTACATCACTGTATTTGTGCATGTGTACATCCAGGCGCATTCGCACTTCAGCGAGGGCGTCAAGGGCTGTGTAACTTGAGGGTGCCAACTACGCACTTGGTCGGATCTTGGTCGGATACTGGTCAGATTTCACCAAACACAACTGTACTTTAGTCAACATGTACCGTAAAGTACCGCCAGAGCGCCCCACCACCATCTCGTCCTTTCGTGGTTGTATTGTGGAGGTGGTCTCCTGTCTGTAGGTCGTACGAAACGAACCTTGTACACATTATTACACCTTGTTCAGTCAATCCGTACTCAGTTTGCCTTCGAGTGGATGCGAGCTCTACACAAAAACCTACTAAGTGTGACCTTAGTGCACTAAGGTTCTCACACCGTACAAACTTTGTTGCACTCTGCTACGCGATTTTCCTTTCCCTGGCTGTAAAATCAAGGTGGGGCGCTCTGGCGGTACTTCACGGTGCTAGCATGACTACTGCCACTGCTAGTATTGCATCATAGTACTGTCGTAAACATGGAAATCCAGTCGAATGACCGGGGCCGGCGCCCTCAGCGCGTACAGAACGGTACATGCAGTGCACATGTTGATCCGATGCGACCAGCACGCTGCAGCACATAAATGCATGTGTGTACCACTTATCCACGGCTGCATGGCCAGCGCCCTGGGGCCGCTAGACATGCGACCGGATTTCCATGTCCAACACAGTAAAAGCAAGTGTGGCCAGACAGCCACTCTCGCATAGATACATGTCTACTGCCTATGATACGTACCACGATTACGTTCGCGTGTGACGCATCTGTCATAGTCTATCCAGCTCTCGTGCACAGCACGATTCTGCTGCACGTCATTGGTCATACGTGCTAGGATCTGCTGCCAGGTCTCATCCGTTGTGCGTCTGTCACGTGTGTTGTGATTGTTTGTGTTTGTATTCGCTCCATTGCGAAGGTAGTCAAGAGGAAAGTCACCCGTGGAATTGATACCATGGTCATTCTGAACACAAATGGCAGGACAAGAGTTGATAGAAGAGATCACTTACTGTTAGCATCTGTACTGTGTATATAACACCACAAATAAAAAGCACAAACAACCCAATGTTTTCTTTAGCACTTGATAGGAAGGACACAGAATACATAGGGCGCGATGGTGGTTAACTTTGCATGATATAATATAATGTATCTTCCAAAATCGTAAATGTGCTCACAATTTTGCCCGACAGGATTGCGAACAAGCATTCAATGCAATGGAGTGGAAAAGAGCATGATCAGGCACATATCACTCTGTCTGTCACTCATCCTGTCCGACGTCACAGAGTCCCCTCAAGGCCAATAGTCGCACAACGCCAATACTATACATGCAGCCCATACATGTAAGTATACCATTGGCAATGCCGGGCTGAAACATGGTCCAACCTGCACAGCCTGACCAACCGCACTGTCTGCTTTGCTCCAGTGCAGTGCAGTGCAGTAATTACAGAGCAGAGGCATGCACGGATCCCCACCTACCTGACACATATACTGCAGCACCATGTTGCAGTTGAGCTTGTGTGGATCACTGTCCTCGTTACCACCACAGCCATGCTGGTTTGTCCACTCGACTTCCAACTCAGAGCTGCCCAGCGTACCGCTCTGGAAGTATTTCTGCATCCGACAGTGGCAAACAACAGGGATAGAGAATACAGTTACAACCCCGGAAATCCTACTCTACGGCATTGGAAACAGTGCTGTGAAGCAGGCCGAGACTCGCAAGCACACATTCGCTACAGGGCACTGTGTTGGTTCATGGGCATACCCGGTGCAAGATCATGCATGGCTGTATAGATGATACGTCACTACAGCATCAGTTGAGAGCCTTGGCAAAGCCACGGCACAGGGATGACCTAGGTCAATCGAAACCTCCAACTCGCACCCTATACTTAGCTCCCAGAAGAAAAACCGCCGACTCACCCTGAGCTGTATACTTTGCGCCCATAACATAAGGGGTCGTCGCAAAAGTTTTTTGTCGTCCCTGAAACGAACAGGATTCATTTGGGGGGGGGGGGGGGGGGGAGGGGGTACGAGCCAAAATCGCAAGTTGACCGACACTGTACATATGACATGTACATGCATGCGATTTTCGTAGTCCAGCATAGCAAGCTGTGTTCGTTTCAGAGGGAGGACCAAAGGGTTTCACTTCTACTAGTATGACCCTGGATAAGGGGCCCGCCTGTGCATAGGACCCCTCTAGTTTAGGAGGTCCTGCGAGTGGCGGGCTGAGACAGGTTTCATAATTATTCAATACGTACATGTATAATTATGGCTACACACACTTGAGAGGAATCAAAAGCGTTCCAAGGCTGCTGTAACTCTGAGTTTCACGGTTTTAACCGATCATCAGGCAGCAACTTGTCAGGTTACTGTCTGATGATCGGTTAAAACCGTGAAACCCAGAGCTACAGCAGAAACGCTTTTGATTCCTCTCAAGTGTGTGTACTAGGCTCTGCACCTTGGTGCATTGAGCACTGCCACGGTCATGAGCAAGCACAACTGCCTCCGAGTGTGTATAGTATGGCTATGCACTGCTTACCATGTTATACTGAGTAGGTTCACCATTGTTGTTTCTGGCCGCAGTTGGGTCCCCCACATTGTAGCCACCGCGATTATTATTCTGTCAGTGACCAACACAAGACAAGCGGCAAAACCGACACAACCGACACAGCACAACTATGCATTGGCAGGCTGAAGCATTCACAGCAAACCACTACGTGTGCCGGGTACCACTGAGATGTGTGCTTATTTTTAAGGTACCTGGGCATGTTGACGGCGGCTGTCGATGTCGATATCTGAACATTTATTCAACATTAACTTGTAAACCTTTTTTTCTACCCCGACCATTATAACTTATTTACCAATAGCAATATTTTTTTAATGGGCCAGTTGGAGCGATCAGAACTGGAAGCTGAGCAAACCAGAGGGAAAGGGGTGCTTTGACGCAATATTGCATAATAATAGTTGTGATAGGAAAGGACTGGAGGAGAACTTTATGCGACGTTACCCTGGTTACGCCGTATGTCTACCGAGTGTACATACTGATATTCCGCTCGTACTTTCATGCAAACCTGTCTACATCATGTAGTCGGCTCTGAATATCGTTCTCTTTTGTGCTTGCGATGTAATATTGTTCAGTGTTCAATGGGCGCTTTCGATTACACGCATTTCGGTCAATTTTAGAATTAGTTATTGTTGATGCACAGTTCGATTACACAAAAAGTGACAAATTCCGTCGTTAGAATTGATTTTATCCAATTCCGTCAAATCCGTCAATTCTGAAGAGAGGGCGGAATTTCTCTAATTCTGGCGCCAGAATTGCACAGTCGGTGTGATACCGGTCTGGTCATGACTCAAGCGCGCGAAGAGCCTCCCTGGCCCGCGTGTGCGCGATGCTGGGTCCACGTGCGCGCGAGGGTGTACGTGATCTCTTTTTACGATTCATCAATTTTGTTTGTGACATGACATGAATAAAATGCGTTGTGAATTCCAGTCGTTCGTTTACAAGGCCGGAATCCGCTCATTCTGGTCATTCCAGAATTTTAAAAAAACAGTTCCAGAATTGTGTAAACGTGTAGATCTACTAGTAATCGAAAGCGCCCAATGATTATGTACAATCATGATTGTAACGATAGTATTTAGCGGGTTGGTCGTAAGCGTGCGAGACTCAGCAAATGGCCACTGCAACGGTGGTTTTTCTCAGTCATTGGAGACTCTCAGCAAACACTTTTAATACACCATGACCGGAATAAGCCCATGTAGCGATTGCAGTAACACCCTGAACACGCCGCACCGACCAAAACAAACCTACAGTACACAGTAGCCAGAGTTACTACTAGTTAGCGATCTTGCAGTCTTGGCAAACACTTGCATTGCTGCTAATAGTCGAGTCACCATAGTCACAACCGAGTCACAGTGGATATTTCGGACTTCTACCAGTACAGACTGGCGACTGACTGACCTGTGAGTCAAAGACCCGGTTGGCATTGTTCCTGTTGGCCGATCGCTCGTTGAGGCGGTTGTTGCTGCCTCTTGGGTTGTGCATGTAGCAATCGGACCAGCAGCTTCTGACCAGCAGAAGGAGAGGTAAGAGATTGGCGACTAGTAGCACACGCATATTCGTCATCAGGACCAATTGAAGAGGCAATGCGCCTATTGCGATAGCAGTTACTTATTATTCAGGCATTACAGGGTAGCGAGGCCGCAATCATATCCAGACTCCTATCCGGGAAAATGAAGTCCCGAACAACAGCAACATTCGTTTCAACCAAACTCTGACACAACACAGTGAGTCTGTCATGTCAGCGCGCGCAGGGCTGCAGCCTTAGGCTTAGTGCAGGACAGGCTAGCGCTAGGCGATGACAGACAGTCGTGAATGTGTGAGTAGATCTACTGAGTACTGTAGAGGGGACGGTTTCAAATAGGACACCGGTTGCAAACCGGAACGGACTCAATATTCACTTTCTCTCTTGGTATTTTGATTAGAAAACATATGTCACAGTGAGACTACTATGTGTTATACTCCGAGCCAAAATTTCATGGCTCTGCGATGACCAGAAGCGCCATATCAAGCAGGTGAGTTTTTGACGTGTTGCTTCGCACTGCGACTTGAGTTTTACGACTTTCGAAAAATCAACTTCTTGTCGCAGGTAAACAGCGGCTCGCCTCTCGCCAATAAAGCACCGCATACCAATCAAAACTAATGGAAGCACACACAAGGCTTATTGTTACTCTATACTGGCCGTCGTGGAGCGATAGCAATTACCTAATTTCAGACCCAGAGTGAATTTGACGTGCACTCTAAAACGTGTCCGGTTTGGAGCCACCTCTGATTTGAACTTTTTTGAAGCGAAAAATTGGGCAACTTGGAGGCAATGGGTCAACACAAAGGAGTGGCTCAGTTCGATTGACTCTGGCCCCAGAGCAAACTTCAACATGCCAGTTTCCTTCCACAAACATATTTCGAGTGAAAAATCAACGCTGATGATCGGTTTGGGTCTACAGTCAACTTCGCTAATAACGACTGCGGATATAACGACAATTCGCGAATAACGACCGAATTTCCATGCCCAGAGCAAAGTCCCATCTAACTGTATACATTTAACTTCGGATATAACGACTATCTGAATAACGACAATTCGCGTATAGCGACATGCTTTTAGTGCCCCGTGGTCATATTCACTGCTTGAATAACGACTTTCTGGGCTTTTGACAGCTATTTCAAGTACCTGTCAGTCAAGTACATGTACCTGTCATGCAGAAGTACCAGAACCTATGGTGCACCAGTACATGGTGATGGATATTATTGCACACATGCAAGAAAATGCAGCCAAGGGGGGGGGGGCTTTTTCTTCCTTTTTTATGTTGGCTTCAAAATTGTTGGATTTACCAGCACACCTACATGTATACAATGTACATGTACATGTAGTTGTACATGATTGTACAGTGGTCATCATACATGTACATATCTCTGGCCCTGTAGATGGCTCAAAAAGGCATATTTTTCAATTGATTTCCCTTGCATATTGAATTTTTAGATCCTTTCAACTGCAATATGAAAATAAAGTACACATTGACATAGAGCAAGAAAAGAGCTTGATTTTGATATGCATATCATACTATACAAAATATGGGTTCACATACATTCAAATGGGACTTCGGTTATAATGACACTTCGCGAATAAGGACACTTTTCTGATGCCCCGCCGAATGTCGTTATTGGCGAAGTTGACTGTATACAAATTTGGCTGTCAAAACGTCCCGGTATCGAGCCGTCTCCTCTACTGCATGCCGGGTAGGGCTAGTAAGTAGTAGCCTACCGCTTGCCACTGCATTCCTACGTACATGACTGAGTAAAAATGTATTAATTTTTAGTATTACAATCATGTACATGATGGTACTGTATGAACTATGATGTAGCTTACAGCCTAGGCATGCGCCATTGGCATTGATGCCTTCCTGCTGCGAGAAGCTCACACTGACCGACCCGTACCCGTACATGGGCTGGTGTTGAGCCTGTGTGTACGTGTGTGTGTCTTGCATGCACGTGATGTGACATGATGACCCATGCATTGACATAGTCATTGTTTGTAGCGATGCCTTCATTCTCGCAGCCAGAACAGGCAGAAGCAAAATAGGGCTTGAAAGTGATGACGTCAAAACGGCCAGGGAGTAGTAAGTTACCAGGTGACTCGACTTGTCCAAGACATAGCGACAAAGAGGAACTGTGGGGAGCATGTGGGAATGGTGTTTTTCGACTTGGCTAAGGCATTCGACACCGTTTGGCATCGTGGCTTACTTGCCAAGTTGGAGGTCACCTTCCGGGTGGAGGATGCTGCCTTGCGTTGGATATCCTCGTATCTGTCTGCTCGTTCTCAGGCTGTTCGCTTGTCTTATTTCTTGTCTGATCCCCTCCCTGTAACGTCTGGAGTGCCCCAAGGTTCCATTCTGGGTCCTTTGTTATTCTTGCTTTACGCTAATGACCTACCTTCAGTTGTCCCCGATGTTAGTTTGTATGCGGATGACACTGGCCTTATCTGTTCTGATTCCTCCCCTGCACAATTACTCCTTACCATGCAGCATCGCATCAACAGCACTGTCATGTGGATGCAAACGTGGAAACTCCAGCCCAATTTAGACAAGACAGAAGCCATGTATATTTCTTCATCCCCTCCTGATCAACCATTATACTTCCCTGACTCGACTATGCCTATCCGTGTTGTTACTCAGCACAAACATCTAGGTGTGATGTTTGACTGCAAACTCTCTTGGGCTGCACATGTCAACTGTGTATGCAAGCGAACCAGTTCAGCATTAGGGGTACTACAACCACATTGCACTCATTTGCCCATCCAGTGTAAACTATTATTTTATCAGTGCTATATTCTCCCTATATTCGACTATTGCGATACCGCTTGGTGTGGCCTTTCTGACACAACTCTGAACCAATTAGAAGTCCACCATAGATTTATACTTAAAATTCTTTACAACAAGGATCGATGTTTTCCTTCGGATGCCCTTTATCGACTTGCACACACTTCTCCTCTCTCCGTTCGTCATAAGCACCATCTCTGTACACTGGTTCATAAAATATTTCTTCATAAAACCCCTTCACACATGATGAAGTACAATTGGTTTTCGACAAGCTCAACCCGTAACGCGCTCATCCTGCCTCTTGTTAAGTCAGCCCAGTATCTAAAGTCCCCTTTGTTTTCCGGCTACTCTCATTGGTTATCATTACCATACGGTCTGAAAACTTGTTCTTCTATTGGTCAGTTTAAAGATCTACTATCACAACTGAACTAGACGCAATAATTATCATCGAAGAACATTCTCGAATACCTGGGTGATGCACGAATTTTGATAGTGCTCACTTCCGTTAATCGTTTTTCTTTGTAATTTTCCATTCATTTTCTGCTCTAATTCATATTTGCTTTGTTTTCCTAGCTTACTATTGCCGTGGCTGGCTCAACGCCCTTGTCTCAGGGGATTCTGTCCCTGCATTAGCTATGCTTGTCACATGCTATGAGATTGTGTCTAATAATAATAATAATAAAGTTGACATCAGATTTCTATTTTTGGATCCACTAAGGTGTGACTTTGCTATCTGGCCGAAAATCCTATATATAGGATTTGAAAATGTGTGCCTTTTATGCCGTTGTTATTGGTCATCACGACCAATAATAACGACATAATGGTTTTCATGGAAGTTGTAAATATGTTTGAGGCATGAATGTTTACATTTTAGATTCATAGGGCGATAATATTTCTGATGAATACCCATTTTCAGCAACAATTGGAAATTTGAGCATAATTGGTCAGCTGCTGTCATGGAAAGGACTGAAGCAGTGAATGTGCAGAAGAACATTGCAGGTGTGGCACGGGGTGGTTTCATGACGACATATCGCACATGCCGTCATGAAACTACCAGTTTTAAGGATAAAACAAGGTCCAATAAAATCTCAAATCCTATATATAGGATTCGAAAAATAGGGCACACACCACCTTCCAGGGGTCAAAAAATCAACTTTCGATTTGTCACCTTTTTGCTATTGGAAATCAAAGCATATGCCCTGAGGTGTCAGTATTCCAAATTTGAAGCGATTCGGACCAACTGTTGCAGTCATATGACCGTTTGAAATTTGAAAATATTTGAAAAATTTGTACACATCGATGTTCGTACACTAAAAAGTTGAAAAAAATTGAACACATCGCGCAGCACGAGCGCCAGAAGAAGCTGCAGTACGGAGAGCGAATCCTCAATGTGGATCGTGGCACATTCAGCCCGCTGGTGTTGTCAACTTCTGGTGTTGCCGCATTCCAGCATGCCCTATGCACACCATGTTGCATATGTGCGCTGCAGGCTGTCTTTCGCGCTGCTCCGGTCCGCTGTCATGTGTGTCCGTGGGTCTCGGTCGGCATACCATCGTCCAGCTAACGAGCTCAGGGAGCTGGCAGTGGTTGAAAGCCGGATCTAAAACCATTGTGTTTTAGTGTGACTCTCGCCATTCCGGAGACATATTTTCCACACCTGTGTACTATTTTTAATATTATCAGTTCCTATCATACCCTGGTTTCTCATCATTGTGTTGCTTTTGCCCGTACAAGAGGCTTTATGTTGAAAAAAAAAAAAGAACACATCGCGATGCTCGTGCATGCACTAAACGAGCTGTCAAGATTGTGGCCGTGGAGTTTGGGAGTTTTGAAGCGCTTTTACTTCCAAATTTTGTTGCCATGGCAGCAGTGACCCGTGCCACGTGCAAAAAGTGCAAAAAATTCTTTCCCAAAGGACTTCTTTGCTGTTGCAGTTTCGAGCGCGATGCACAATGGGGAACAAGAAGAGCAGGTCGTGCAAGCGTCCTGCAAAGAGAAGATTCTCACTGCACGCAGCACCTGTCCAGGAAGCTGCTGAGGGAGTTTATGAAGCTGAAGCAGTGCCAGAGTCCGCCTCGAAGCGCAAGTTGTACGATGGCGTTCCAAAAATAAGAATACAGTGATCATAATAAAAATAATTTAATTAATGGATTCAACTGAGCGATAGTGAGTCGGATTCGGAGGAGAGCTTTGATGGATGTGCGCTGGCCTCGAACTCAGACAGTTGCTCCCTCTAGTGATTCCTCGTTCTCTGAAGACTGTCATGGCCCAATCGCTGAAAGTTGTGATTCAGACGCCACTGGACTTGAATTGTTTACGAAATTTGATTTTCTCTGCTTGCTCGTGTAAATACTGTGGAGGTGAGCTGACCATTGCTGAAACTGCACGTTCTGGCCTTGCATCCACTGTCAGAATCACATGCTGCAATGAA